GGGATAAATCTCCACACAAGAAGTTCAAGTACTTCTGGAAAGTTAAGTGGCAGTCAGCTCCATCGCTCCTCAGAAACCAACCAAACGCGAGTAAACCCTGTCTGCCCTAAAACGACTCAACCAAGTTCAGTAATAACCCACACCGAATGGATTCTGGGAAGGACACCTTTTCTCCGGAAACGTGAGTCCCGTTTCAGTCTCTGTCTTTGCAAGTCGCCGCTCAAGTTACCCACTGAGCCTGAACTAAACACTGAACTTCCCTTCTCACTTCCAGTTCCGGTCCTCCAGCGTTCTGAATAAAAACACTGGATTCAACTCATCGTGTTTTCAATAAACCTGCTAAACCCTTACTCTGTTTCTCTGTTGGTCAGATCCCTTAAAAAGAACATGACACATTGTTGGAAAGCATAGATTCTCCTCAATTTAGCCACCGAGTTCATTTTATGGATACAGCGAGCACCAAAGCACAACTAACACAGATATATATGTCAAAATGTAAATATGAGAAAGCAGCCACAACAAGCAAGCACGTCTTTATTACTGCTGTTCAAAAAACAACTTTGAGTCTTGTTTAAACGGATGCAGCTTTGGCTGTGTTTTACTTACCCAATTTTCAATTATATTCAGAAACTAGAAGGTGTTCGCTTTTAAATAATGTAATTTGGGCTTACAGTTACTAAGTTATCTGCTTTTCCATTTGAGTATGCATAATAGGCGAGAATTTTCCAAAATGAGGTGGATTTTGAGAGGTTATGGAAAACAAGAAAGAAGCTAATAAATTAGGAGGCCTGACTACCACGCTGAAAGTAGGAACTATTTGCCATCTGCCTCAGTGGATTCACTCCTTTTTATTCTCCTCCTGATTAGTCTGAACAAGCCACAGCTGCGTGAAGACATCTGCCCGACACAGCCTTCCATCAGAGATGGTGAGGAAACACACAGACAGCCCTGTAAATATATTAATTAGCATCATCTTTGAGCAGAAAAAATCCTTCAATAAAAAGCACATAAACTTTTTTTTTTTATCTACTATCTTCACAACTTTAGAGAGTAAAAAGGGATTTAAAAGGAGAGAGATAGAAATAAAATACACATTTCACACACATTGATCTATCTAAAGGGGAATGTTGTTATCTACCAATGAGATAAACTGCAAGTGAATGTAGAAAATATACTGTTGTTAAATTCTACAAAATACCATACATTAATGTTAATTTGTCTTTTAAGGATATATTTTGTTTTAAAGTTTTGACTGAAGCTCAGTAACTGCTCATTAAATGATATAGAATAAGATCTTGTCACATATGATAGTCACCAGAATTGAATATATTATTCCAATCACAACACAGAAATAAAATCACCTGTTAGACCATTTTCATTAGATGTTGTGCCACTTATTTTTGCTGCCAGAAATAAAGCGTAACCGTGGCTTTATTGATTAAAGGTTCATGAATTGCATTAAAGCATTGTTCTGTTTTTTTTCAGCATTTTATTGTCATTACACTGTCACAACTACAGAACAACAAAATTAACTCTGCATTTAACTCATTCTCTTGAGAAAGAAAATAGGGGAGCACTGTGCGGCACCTAAGGAGCAGTGTGGGGTTAAGGGTTTTTGGTCAGGGACCCAGAGCGGCAGTCTGTGGGAGGGGAGTTTGAACTCAGAACCACTAGGCCACCATTCCCCAAAGAAGGCATTAGCGGAAAGGGTCTTGACTAAGGACCCAACATGGGAACTCATTCTCTGGGATACAAACCCAGGTTTCCTGTTTGCAGTACCAGTGACTTATTACTAGCCAGCAACTAAATAACCATTTGTTCTTTAAACAGGGGTTTTAAGAAGCTAGCCCATTGATTAGAATGTTTTTTTTGGAGTTATTTAAGGTCTTTTACGGTTTAACACAACACCTCAAACAGATTCTCAAAGGGATGCCATAGGAATATTCAAATAAATCAGCCAAGATATCTGGAAGAGAACCAGCTTTAAGTCTGGTTCTTCTCAAGCCCAAGAATGTGCTGGAGGCCTAAAAGAACGTGAGATGAATAGCCATTGGAGCCATGTCTCCAAAAAGAACATAAAAAGCCAAATTACAGTCCAATCTGTAAAGTACAGGGGTGGCAGAATCATGTTGTGTGGGTTTTATGCCTGAAACTGTCAGGAGGAATGAGCCAAAGTACCAGTAGGCTATTCTAAAAAAGTGAAATAACAATCTACTGGACTTTGTTTCCAAGTTTAAAGATGTTTCGCTTCCCATCCAGGAAGCTTTTTTATATTCAAAATGTCAGAAATAACACTGAGTAAGACACTTTATAGAGTGGACCAAAGCAAAGCCTTGTTTTGGCTTTAAAAACATGCAAATTAAACTGGAAAAATGGCTCCACCCCTTTGGAATGGTGTCGTTTGGGTTCTTTGTTAGCCTGCAATACCCGATACCTGTCTATGCCTATGAAGGGGATCGTTAACGGGAATTGTTGCCCTGGCTGAACAGGCGAGGTCTTCTGTTCGCTTGTAAGGGGGTGGGGGTTGCGATGATATCCGGAAGAATCAATCCACTTGCTGCATTGTAGGTTTTTGGAAGCTGAAATCTGAGTCCAGCCCCTCTGTTTAATGTTGGGTTTTTTTTCTTAATATAAATGGCTTCCTTCACGCCCCTCTCAAACCACCTGTCTTCTTTGTCCTTCTTTGTTTTTTTAACGTTTTTGGAAGGACTATGACCTGGATGACTGAGAACCTTCACCAGCATACCAGTAGACTATACTTGGAGAAGGATACACCAAACAAGACCCACAAACATTTTACATTTATCATAAAGGATATCATAATAAACACAAAGACGCATATACACATCTGAATTTGAAGAAATATTCATATAAAAATATATAAATTATATAATTAACCCTAACTGATTGATAAAAAACTGTTTTGTATGATTCAATCATAGTGCATTAAGACAAAAAGCTTTTTGCCTTGTCAGTATATCTAATTTTATCTATATGTTTTATTTAAGCAGCGTTAACACTGTGTAGGTTCACACTTATGTTCTACCAACTATTTGCTGCTGACAAATTTTCAGTACCGTTTTTTTTTATATTATGTAATTCTTTTCAATCCTTTACTTAATATATGATATAATAATATATAGCAGTTGTCTCAGCAAAGACACCCAGACTTCCTTCTCCACAGATGCCTCCACCAAATTCTACACTTCTTCCTGAGGTTTTAACTTTCGATTGTTTTGCATGTGATTCTAAATGGAAGGGGAACATGTTATTGATTTATAGACCTCTCAAAGCCTCTTAAATTGATATATGATTTTTCATCTCCCTTTCTACCTCCTCTGTTTGAAATCTTGTACTAGAGGATTGAAATATCAATGCTGACAACCCCCCCCACCCCCACCCCCTTCTCTTTTCCTCAAAATAAAGCAGCATGTTTTTGCTTCCACAAACACTTGAGGGCCCACTCTGAACCTTTGTTACTTCTGAATCTGGATCTATAAACAATCTCCTGAAGTATGATTTTCTCTTTTTCTTTTGCATAAATCCCAAATGTGAAAACTACTCCCTAATATTAAAAACATTCACCCAGAAATCAAGTCCACAGAGCGTTATCATATTGCTTCTAGCTCCTTAATTACTGAATTAGTGGATTTCCAGAAAAGCCTCTGCATTTTCTCCCGAATCATCTCGGCCATTTAAAGTCGTGGGTGTTGTCTTTCTAATGTTCAGCACCTTGGTACACATGAAAGCTATTCAGAAAGAAATTAGCTGGGTCTGCCACTGAGAGGTGCCTCGCATCTTCTAACCCTTCAGTTCACAATTAGGCATACAGAGATTTTTTTTTTTCATTAAAAGGGCTGTGTGATTAAATGTAATATTTATTGCAGATCCTGATGTTCTTCTTATATATATATGCTTTTCATTTCCTAATCATTTGAACAGCAAATATATAATTTTTAATTGATGGCAGTTTAAGAAAAACTATTTGAAAGAAGCATTTGTTTTGGTTATTTAGTAGATAATGATTTTTTTCTTAGGCTGGCAAAGCCTGAAAACCACAGCAAGGTTAAAAACCAATCTTTTCTGATATGTTCGGATGTTTTCAGTTGATTTCTACGTATTCTGTCAATGGGATGTTGTAAACATTGCAAAAGCATTATGAAACAAATTTGTTTTGCGCCTTGGGTGCCAAATGATCCTGAAGTTGATATCACACTTGAGGCTTTTGAGAAATATTTATTTATTTAGTCTGGATTGCATTTTATCTTTCTGAATTCAGAATTTATCAAAGAATTTGTAGATGATTCATTGAAAAAACTCACAATGAAGTCTAAGATTTATGAAAACATTATTCCATCATTGAACACGCACAGACATTTGTCAATAGTTCACTGTTATATGGGCTTTTTTAGCTTTAGGCAAACAAGAATAAGAAAAACAAACAATATACACATAATTTAGAGGTCTGACTGAGGGAAAAAAAAAAAAAACTGAGGACACCCCAAAGTGTCACACTTATCCAGAGTCTAAGGCAGGTAAAGTCATTGTTGGTTTGAAAACAATCCCCCATTAGACTTTTAACTTTTAGAAAAATAACTAATAATTTAAAAATAACTGCAGTCTATCCACTGTTATTATCCAATGACTAAAATATTAATAGAAAGCTTGACACTAAATAGAGCTAATACACTTCATGTTGGGATCTGGAGGTCTGTCCACTTTCTCCACCAGAGGGCGTACGAGATCTCCTGGAGCCGGAGCTGATTGCACCACCTGTCGCTCGTCTGCTCATCAGGAGATCAGTATTTAAGGAGGCAGAGGACTTCTCTACAGCGCCAGAGTGTTTGCCAGTAACGGTTAGCAAGCCTGATCCAACCAGCCTGTCTGAACCTCTGACTCCCTGATAACCTCTGCCAGTTATCTGCCTGTCCGTTCTCTGAAGAATCCTGGAGAATTATTCCTGTCAAAGTTCTGCCTGCCCGCTCTCACAAGATTCTGGAAGGAAACTCAGATCTGTTATCTGCCAACACTCAAATTAAGCTCTGCCTCTGCCAAGCCCTCAGCCTGCCGACAGCCTCTGGACCCTCAAGGTTCCCCCCCTCTACCGCTTGCTCACTTTCAACCTGCAAATTACCTGGACCTCCACTAACTCCTCTGTCCCCCTCTGCAGTGAACCCACTCGTGACCAGTCCTGGACCTGATAACTCTGTGTGCTTTTCAGAACCCACTCGTGACCAGATGAGTTCCCCTCTGGATCTGTTCATTTTTTGTGTTCAAACACTTCAATAAACCTTTGAACTTTTCTCCTGCCTCTGAGTGTTCTGCATGTGGGTTAGGCACCTTAAGCCAAACATGACACTTCATATAGTTTCTCTAAAGAGTTTTTTCTTAAGAGGTCTTGAAGGACGTGCTCTATTAATACCATAGCCATCATTTATGGAAAGACTTCAGCGTTATAAATGAATTAATATTCTACTTGAATGTACATTTTATTTCATGTATCTATTAACTCTGGGCCATCATAGCTATCTACAGCAACCATTTTAAAAGCTCTCGGGTCCCATTTAGTCCTGCGGCCGTAAGAATAAGGCTGAATAGAAAAATATACAGCCTAAGGTCAGACTATTGCTAAATGCTACTAAAATCATTTCATTCTAATTCACTCCAGTTTGTATTTTATAACGTAGCTGTACTGATTTAACCAAAGCACTTTCATTTTCATGAAAAGTATTTATCCACTTGCAGATTTCTTCTGTTTTTGTTAAATGTTTTTTTTAGAAGTAGGTAAAATTAATTTACTTTCACATGATAAAAAGACAAAGAGGTGATGACACAAAAGGTACGTGTGTCCGGATGTGTGCATGTCAGTGCATATGTGTGGCTATTGTATTATTCTGTAGTTATGGCTAACAGCCTTGACTACCTCCAGCTGCTGTACATCAAAGTAGTCAGTTCTGTTTCCATGTTGTGATGGTAAAGTGACTCTTGATTATACTATCATGAATAGATACATGAAATGACATACTTCTTGCTAAGTGACCATGTCTCACACTTGTGTTCCTCCTCTTTCAGGTCTTGAATACTCATGTCTACCCAAACCTTCTTCACACATCTTCCTCCATAAAGTGATTCTTTGGTCTTCATCCTCTTCGAACATCTCATGCCAACTTTTTCTCCCTTTGCATGTCTCTTGTTTCCACCCTGTTTACTTCTACCAGCGTCAGATCTGGACCATCACCTTTAAAAATACAGTAAAAATAAACACTGGTTCTGTTATCTATCGTATTTTCTATAGCTTACTTCCTTGTTTCAGTGCTCCAAAGAATCCCTTTTAAAACGTGTAAATATATATTACTTATTATGTGTAAAATTAATTATTTTAACTTTTTATCTGAGTCGGAAGTTTGCGTCTGAGTTTATCCTCCAAAATCCCAGTACAGGACCCTAAAAAGCGCTGAGGAATTTGAAATTATCTCTGTAAACTGACAGATAACTAGTCTAGAAAGATTTTTAAAGGAGCTGCAGTGGTGTCAAAGGGTGTTTATACTGTCCCTGATGTCTTATTTTGTTGCATATATATCACATCTAAAAGTTTGAAGACATCTAACAAATTAAAATAATAGAAAAACAGACATAAGACAACAAAATATGACTTTTAAAAGAGGGCTTTTATTATTAATGGAGGGGAAAACAAACCACGTGCCCCTGAGTGAAAAAGTGATTTCTCTTTAAACCTAATAACTGGTTTGACTCCGTTAGCAGCATAAACTACAGTGAAAGGTTTGCAAAAACTTGCAATGGGTCTTTCACAGCATTGTGGGAATCTTGCCCCACTTATCTTTTCCTGGATTGGTGAGAGTCTTCTAGCGAGCAATAGTGTTTTCTAATTGTCTGATCCTTATCAGTTCTGCCTCTGCACCTCTGAGCCTTCCTGTTCCAGTTCTGATCTGTTTGCCTGAACGTTCCTCAGACTCCTGGTGGATTCAGCCTGTTTTCAGAACCTGGATCTGCTTCCTGACACCGACCTGGCTTTCCCTTCCCTTCGGTGCTATATAAGTAAACTGAATAGAATTGAAACTCATTAATGGAATTAGAGTTTTCTTTGGCTACCAACATCTCCATTTGGCTTTAGCCATGACACACCATGTGGCTATCCATACACACACAAACAGGGAGGCCAGTAAGAAAGTGAGTCACTACCAGTTATTCACTATCATTGGTCAGTCAGGTTGATTAAGTAATACGTCTGGCGTGTTGGTTGATCAGCAGAGAACTGCAATTTATATGTAGAATATGACCATCCATACAATCTCCTCACATTGGCAGATCATCTACACATTCTAATCCTTCATGATCTAATATTGTCATATTGAACACTCCACTAATATTTTCATATCGAACACCCCTACTTTTGAGAACTGACTGATATAAATTACAAACATTGGCTGAGAGATGGAATCCCCATCAGACAGAGATGACATAAATGACCTCATCAACTTCTCTTAAACCAAGATCTGAGTTCTATCTAGATCTTTGGCTATCTCTGAGGAGGGCCCAAATATTCCAGGATGAGTAATATTTGATGATTCATTCAAAATAAAAATAAACATAGACATTCTTTATCTTCAGAATATTTGTCACAATTACAGTATTTTTTTAATCCATATTTGATAATAAAATGCCCCATCACATTTTATTCACACTCTTTAGTAAATGGAAAAACTGTATAGTATATTGATGTGCATAATTAACCACAATGTTTTTGTTATCAAGTAATTGGTAATACATGAAAAATGGTTTGAATATTCCACCTGAGAGTATTATGTTGCCATCATTTATATTAGAGGGAAATAAATAGGTAGGGGTGGCCACAGGGGTGGCCACAGATTGGCTAAGGATGGCCATGGCCACCCCTGGACCCCCATCTAGCTCCGCCCCTGCGCGATTATATCTAAATATCAACGCTTTAATAGTCTAATTAAATCAGAGGTTTGGTTGTTTAATTAGTGCTCTAAAGTTGTTAGATTTTATTATTTCCAATACATAATTAAAATAGTATAAACAATTTATTCAAATGAATATGGCATGTCACGACTGGGACGACAGATTACTGAAATATTTTTGCATTTCCCATTAAACATGTCAGGGGAAAAATGATTTTTTTAATTCTTTTGATTTTTTTTTTTTTATTATGACTTCCGCCACTTATTAATTCTTATTGAAAATACAGCTCAGAACCTTACCTTACCTTACCTTAAATTGTGTTGTTTTTACCTTTAGTCTACTATAATATTAAAACCGGCATAATTAATGGATAAGTTATTTTGCAGCTGTCCAACCAAAGATAAGTAAATCTGTTTTTTTGTATTTTTTTAGTAAATGTGCTGGCGTTAAAGGAAAGGCAGTGGGCTCTGTTAATTAACGGCTCGCAGCTCAGGTGTGTTTCTCCGCTCAGGTGCTCGTCAGGTATTTAGCTGAAGTTTGACCGCAGACTGACATAAAGGAAGAGGAAGACAAACTATATATAGATATATAAATATTTGTCTTCGGTGAATGTGGTAAAATGAAAGTTCCAGAAGCAGAACGAATGAGTGATATTCTGAAGCGGCTGACCGGTGAGTCTGCTCTGCCTCTCTACTGCAGCATCGAAAAGTTCAGACGAGCCAGAGATGGATTCTACTTTGTTGCAGAAGATTTTAGCCAAACCGTCAAGAAAAGAGAGTTGGTCAACGCGAAGGAGCGACTGAGAGTGTGTATCACTTAAATATGTTCTACTTATTTCCCTAAGAAAGTGACAAATATGCAGAGGTGTCCGAAAAGTTTTTACTCAAGTAGAGTATAATTAACCAACATTTCTACACATGTAAAGTAACGAAGTATTTACTTTGTTGCTTTTTATTCATACTTCTTCTTAATAAGCAAAGTATAAACAGAAGTACTTGTTAATTGAGTAGAATTTTTGGTCATTTATTCTCTACTTGTATAATAATTTTTCAGTCTACTTTTTTTACTTTTACTCCTTACATTGTTTTGCAATTATCTCTAGTTTCTACTCTTTACATTTAAAAAAAAAGTAAGCTCGTTACTCATTTTAATCACAATTTCTCACATTTGTGTGGAAATAAAACTAGTATAAATTGCTATCTGGACAAAAATCGATGGTGATTGGACGAGAGGAGTAATAATCTGCTGGTTTATACCGGAGGTCTTCAACAGGGGGTCCGCGACCCCTAGGGGTGCTCAGAGGTACTGCATGGGGCTCGCGTGAGTTTTGGTTGATTAAACTTTTTATATATATATATTTACCCCAGCATTTTTTTTTCTACTAATTGAAATGTCTTTAAATACACATTAACACGAATTTAACACACTGTAGTAAACAGATAAATGGAGGAAGATCTCTTTCAGTCATCAATGCACACGTTCAGTGACACAGGAGCTCTTTCAAGCTGGGCACCGTTTCATTCACAACACCTGTCCCATTAACCAGTAATCCAAATCAGAAATACTTTAATAAAAGGGGAGCAATTACTTTTGCTACAAGACTCCATTTGTAATAGAGTGACTATAGGAACAGTTGGATAACACAATTTCATACCATATATATAATTAGGGGGTCCCCGCTCCAGCTCGCCATTAGTTTGGGGGTCCTTGGCCTGGATAACATTGAAGACACCTGGTTTATATGCTGTTCGTCGGATTAGGCCTTTAGACGTTTCACGTTTGCTTTAAAGTTCGACATCAAAGAGGTGGAAAATAGCCAGGCGGACTGTCCCTGCCGAGCAACACCTAGATGGTTGTTGGCCAAGAACCAGACATTTATACACCTGTGGCCGTACCTAGAATGATTTAAAATAGAAGGATTCAAAAGTATCTCGTATCAATGTGCTGCAAGCTCTGTGCACCAAAGTACCACGAGCTATTGGTGTTTAAAAACTCACCAATTTGAAACGGCATTTTGAGGTAAGTCTTGTTCTATTTTTTTGTCCATTATTAATAACATTTTCTAGTAGAGTCTGCTAATGGATTATCATTGATGGCAAGTATGATAAGACTTTATTTATATAGCACCAATTCACAATACAGTTCTTCTCAAGGCACTTATAGTTCACCAGATCATATATTCAAATTGATTAAAAGTTTTCCATCTAAGAAAAACCAGTTGATTGCATTGACTCATTGACTCCAATGTAATCCCTCACAATAAGCATGCCTGTAGTGACAGTGGAGAGGAAAAACTCTTAACAGGAAGAAACCTCCAGCAACAGGTTATGCTTTAGCTTTGCAAGTTTTTTTTTTTATTTGAGTTTATAAGTAATTTGTATAAAACTTGTTTACCTCTCACTTTCTGTCTTGGGGTCTCGATAATCAGAAATAAAAAGTCCAATGCTCATCATTGCTATCTCACTCAAATGTGGGATGCAGGGGTGGATTCAGGAAATTTGGGGCCCTAGGCAAAAACAGGCATGGGGCCCTCTAAATTGGGAAGATGGCACATAAAACAGACCCATTATACAGATACAGAAATGTTTATAGAATAGACTAGGGCTGCAACAACGAATCGATAAAATCGATTTTTAAAAGCGCTGGCAACGAATTTCATCTATTAGTTGTGTCGCGCGATTAATGCGTCATCCGCGGCCGCCGTCATCACATCCACTTGACTTAAACGGGGGAAGAAAAAAAAAAATACGGCAGAGCGAGCCAGCGCTGCAGGGCGCAGTGTTGCCAACTCAGCGACTTTTCAGACCCCTCATTTTTCAAAAAAGCGACTAGCGACAAATCTGCGGACTTTTTACGGTGTCACTGGCGGCTTTTGGAGACTCTTACGTGAAAGCATGTATCGTTCATACTCTGGCATGGGGCACCTCCCCCACCCCAACCCCGTTCTCCCTCCTCCCGCAGGAGTCCCTCTCAGCGCTGCAGTCAGAGCCGCAGTAAGTTTACCCTCAGCGTCCAGACTGCAAATGAAGCGCGCATGCGCCGGGATTGAAGGCGCAAATTGATCACAATAATTAAAATAGCCTGCGCTTTGTAAAGTGAAAAGTCGTGACATGCAACTTTTGTCAAAACAAATTAACATGGCACGGAACCACCATGTTTGTTTTGTTTTAAAGTGGGGAAACGTAACGTTAGTTTCTCAGGTAGCTCATCTGATGCTTTCCTTACCTTGTTAGTAGGTTACAGACAGTGATAAGGTTGGCTACTTATTTTACTTTTAATTTCATTTGAATTAGCTTAAGCAGCGTTTATATTTACTTTATAATTCAATTATGAGGGCATGGCTTTTACAGTTTAAATCTTCTGGCAAAGATAAAGTAAAGATCCTGCAATTTATGGAAGTAAAGCAGAATAAAATCCAGCAAGATCAGTAATACGTCAATTAATTATATGCCGTATTTCCATGTAAATATCTGTTTTTGGAGGATGTGTTTTTTAGCACCCCTAGTTCTCTCATTTTTATTCCAAATACAATTTATAATTTGAATCACAGGGCTATTTTTATCTCTATGGTTGAGTATTTTCTCAAGTACCACCTTTAACTGCTATACTTTCCTGTCTTAAAAGGCAGAACTCTTCTAGTCTAAAAAAAACTCATGAAATGGGGGGACCTATTGTTTGAACCCCTTAGGGGCTTTAAAAAAACAAAAAAATGTCTTTTTTTTGCACTTTATGAAGCAAAGTACCCTATATTTTGTGGATGTACAGCTACATTTCTCATGTAAGTTTGCGTAGTTTTAACACAAACATTTATTTTTCATATTGCACCAGTACAGTTAATGAGCAACCTGTACTTGTGTGCTTGTTTGTTCTGTCTAAAATGTTTATTTTGGAATAAAGAGGTTAATATAAAAAATATTTTTTGTCCGATTCATCGATTAATTGAAAAAATAATCGGCCGATTCATCGATTTTTAAAATAATCGTTAGTTGCAGCCCTAGAATAGACATACATTATTTGTTCTAAGTGTTGTCCGTCTCTTGTGCCTTATTGGTTTTTGTCTCCGTTTTGTATTGGATGACTTTTCATGCTGTCTCAAAGGGACTGAAAGATTTATTTTTTCCAATCACTAAGCTCACTTAGCCAATTGCTCCTTCGTGTGTTTCCAAAAAGGCAACAGCAAAAGTAAATGACACATTTCTTCTTTTCACTGTAGACAAGCCATAATCTGCTTATCTGTTCTCCATTTTTCATTTGTATGAAATGATAGCTGCATTAATCATGACAGCAGAAAAGATGGAGGAGAGAAGGAGGGGGGGTTTCAAATCTACTTGCTCTGGAGAGCAGAGTTCAGCTCTTTCGTCATTGCCAAAGTCAGAAAAAGGTCACTGGATTTGGTGCTAGGTGCTTTTTTTTTTTTTAAACAAAAGTGCTAGAGGGGTCTGAAAAGTCGCTAAATATAGTGTCAAAAGCTCCAAGTTGGCAACACTGCTCTTAGCACAGTTTATTTTCAAATGGTTTGCTTCTGTCTGTTTGGATCTTTCTGAACATGTGCAGCAAATGGACTGATCCAATGTGGTGGACACTGAAGGGGGGCAGGCACTTAATATTATAAGCATACTGATGGCATTTTAGCAAAGGATTTTTATCAAAAACATAATGTGCATAAATAAGTAATAGAAGTTTTAACTATACATGTAAACAGAGTTTTATGGGGCACCCAGGAACTTGGGGGCCCTAGGCAACTGCCTAGAATTTCCTAATGGTAAATAAGTTAATTGTTTCTAGACACTCAAGGTCACTTTACAGAAAAAAAGTGCAATGTTAAATATTTTGTTATAAACATATTTAAGTGAAGAGGGCAGGTCTCCAATATATCTTTAATGTAGACCAGCTTCAAACACAACAAATAATTCACCTGAAACACAAACTTGTATGTCCAATGACTCAAAGTAATAGCTAATGCTGGAGCTGACATCAGTTAGTGTGCAAACACACTTATTGCTTTGAGCAGTAATTTCAAAGTACTCCCAAATGGGAGAGGCCTTCCTTTTTTTGCTGGGCCCCATTTTTCTCTCAGATAATTCTGGTATGATACACTCGGAGGCTATCTATGCTGATGTGCTGACAAACTACTTACAACAATCCACAGAGCAGCATTCTTCATTGTGCTTTTATTTTGAAATCTAACCCTCAAAATGAAGTAGTGACGTGATAACAGTAATGTGAGGCATAGTTTATCGGTCGGTTGGTTTTCCGCAAGATGACACAAGCATCGAAACAGGGCTTCATTAAGGCCCTCTCACACTGTGACGATTTATCCAGCGTATGCCTGACGTCTCAGAATCGTATTAAAACGCAGGCATACGCTGAACTATGTATTTTATTTTTTTTTATTTTAGGTGTATACATGGAGTATTCATAAGTCCAGAACTTATGTCAAACGACAGCCTAACTTGGAATATAGCAAACCAGTGTCCTGAGGGGGGGGCCGCATTGCGCCCTAGCCTGCGTAAAAAGATTTCTTTAATCGCGGTATTAACCTAGATGTTTACCACCCACCCAAAAAAAAATTTAATAAGAAAACAGAAGGTTTACAGTCAGCGCAGATTCAGTGTCATGTCTGCTAGGAAGGAACCGTCAACCCTTCGATTTCAGTGCAAACTCCAACATCTAACGCCATTGTCGCCCTAATTAAACACAGCTGGACTCCAATGAAGGAGCAGAACCATCTTAAGGAGGATATAAAGAATTGGACAGCGTGTGACTTAAATAAGTGTTAAAGCAAAAAGACCATTTGATATGACATTTTTTTTTTTTGCAAAGATTCTGCCTTTCAGTATTTTTGTCAAGATGGGGTGCTGATTGTGCATTAATGAAATAAAAAAATTACTTTTTTGATTTTAAAAAATAGCTGCAATGAACAGTGAAATATTTAAAGGGCTCTGAATACTTTCCGTACCCACTGTAAGTAAGAAAAAGGTATATGTATTTTATATAAAGTTGTCAAAGGTTATGTAGTTTATCTTAATAGAATAAGATAAAGGATATGTGTTGTACTTCATGTGTTTGAAATGCTACCTTCCTGATTATGAAACAAAGATGCTGCTGCTTTATGCTCCGCTGTAGTTTCATATATATGCTGCAGATTTAACAATGTTCTTGTAATGTTAGTTTTTTGTGAATTTTTGCATTCTTTTATTATTGCAGATCAGGAACCTAAATGCCATGTTCTCCCGTTTGAAACGAATGGTTCCACTGATGCGGCAAGACCGAAAGCCTAGTAAGGTGGACACACTTAAAGCAGCCACCGAATACATTCGGCTGCTGCTTGCTGTTTTGCGTGATACTGAAAGTGTGAGTACTCGAGTCAGTAACTCGTGTCATTCAGTAGATGTTTGTATCCAAGGACAGTCCTGTGATTGCTTTATGGTGATTTTTCTTTTTTCTAGAATGAAGACATTGAAACTGATTTTCTAAAGAATGCACTCGCCTATGGTCAAACTGAAGGCCTAAGCAATGACTTATGGAGGATGGATGATGTGAGTCTTTTAGTTTCAAACTTCTGGCTGGTAGTTGGAGCGTTAATTCTTTTTACCATGTTTATCAAAAGAAATTCTCTGTTTTGGGAAAAGTATTGGATTGAATGATACAGCTCACCAAGGTTACAATTTGTATTTTTTCTCGAACATTCGTTTCCTTTCGCCCCTACCTGTGACCTATAAAGAAACTAGTGACCAGTTGTGAAACATTAGTTATTCTCATATTGGGATTCTTAAAGAGAGGCAGCAATCTGACAAGTCGGAGGCATTAATTTTTATGTAAAACCACCTCAGAGGGTATCCAACAAACCTTCCTGACAGTGGATTGCCTTGCTGGTTTAGGTGAATCAGCTCAAAATGACTTGACCAACATCTTTGTAAAGCTTTATTTTCTCTAACTAAAGCCACTCTAGCTGTTTGTCGCTTTATCTGCTGATTCTACAAATGGTTCTGGACATCAGACACTTTGCAAATGTTCTAATTAGATATGAGCTGGATTTACTTTTATTTTTAAACTTTTTCAGCCTCCAGCCAACCATTCAGGGTACTGCTTTACTGATCAGCTGAGGTGACAGGAGCTGATCAGTAGATCCCTGTTATTCTACTGATGTTGTGCAATCTGTGCCATTAATAGTGTAGGTAGGATTCACTCCTAAAGACTATCTGCAGAGAGCAGAGCATGAAGTGAACTTCAACTAGTGGGATTACTCCCAGCCTATCCAGTCCAACCAATCTGCAACCATGGCAATTGATAAGAAGAAGAATTTAACTTTAGTGATCTCATATTGGAGAAATTTACCTCTGCATTTAACCCATCCCCTTGGGGAACAGCGGGCTGCCACTGTGCGACGCCCGGGGAGAAATCGGCGGTTAAGGGTCTTGCTCAGGAACCCAGAGGCTTTGGAGATCGAACCAGGTACTTGCAACCTTCTGAGAGCACAAGCTCACTGCTCCGAACCACTAGGCCAACACGCCCCTATTTAGGATGACGATGCTGGTTATCAACATGGCTAACACAAACCAGCTTTTATTATGTATGTGAAACTGCATGTATAAAGGGGCATCTTATAGGTAGTAGACCAATCACAACCATGAGATTGGATGGGAGAGGGCTGTGAGGAATAAAAACTCATCTTACAGAAATAAAAAGAGGTAAATTATCTCAATAGGTAAACATGTTGGCGGAATCAAAGGGATGCCAAATGGCATGGCAAAGGTTTGCTGACTGACATCTAACAGACTGCATCCCTTTCTCTTTACTGCATATTAGTCACGTGCCCCTCGGGAAGGAAGAGAATTTGGGTGCAGACAAAACATACGTTAATCTGCATCATATTAAAGAATAGGTTCATCTGAATGAAATGATCCTCTTTGAGCTGTGTCAACATTAAACCCCCATTGGTACAGCTTCAGTGTAACATTAATACTTATTTATACTGTTATAGCAAACATAAAAAATATGTTGAACAAAAAGAAAAACTTTTTACCCACCCCGTGCACAGTTCCTCAGTCAGCAGTCCTTTTCCACATCATTTGACATCTAATTGTGTAAAATATGGTGCTCTTCTTTTTGCACTTATGGTAATGACTGTTCTGCTGGATTGGGTGGGCAGTTCATTCATCTCAAGCTCTGCTCTCTACCAGAGGCCTGGGAGCTTGAGGGTTGTTCGCAGTATCTTAGTCCTGAAATTTGCAGTTCTAAGGACAGCTGAGTTCTCAGTTTCTCCAGGTATCTGTCGGAACCACTTTTCCAGTGTGGGGCTTACTGTTCCGAGTGCTCTAATGACCACGGTCACTTATGTTGCCTTCACCTTTCAGGGTCTCTTTAGTTCTTCCCTGAGACCTTGGTATTTTTCCAATTTCTCATGTTCTTTTTTTTTTTTTTCCTGAAATTTTCATAATTTGGGTTGGCCATGGTCAATCACTACGACTGTCTCTTGCTGCTTATGAATGATCACGATGTCTGGCTGGTTGAGGCCAACCAACAGTTTGTCTGTTTGAATCTGGAAATTCCAGAGGGTCTTAGCTCTGTCCTTCTCCATCAATTTGGGAGGTGGCTTCCATTTTGACCTGGGGATCTCCAGTTTGAATTCTGCTCAGATGTTTCTGTACACTATGCCAGCAAATTGGCTATATACTTCCATGTATTCCTTTCCTTCATTTCTGGCTTCAACTGTCTGAGACATTCACTCAGCGCTCCATCCATTGGGACCATCTTCGTGACCTATTCTTAGAGCTTGGATGTGTCATCTTCAATGGTGGTGCTGATACTCACTAGGCCTCTGCCTTCTTCTTTACGCTTAGTGTATATCTATGGCTAGTGGATTTGGGGTGGAATCCACTGTGCATGGTTAATAGATTTTATGTTTAATATCAGTGGGCTGAATTTCCCTCTGGGGAAGCTTATGCTCTCTGCAGAGTATTTAATTACTGGCAAAGGACTGCTGTTGACTTCCTGCACCTTGTTCTTACCATTGATTTGACATCTCAGAACTTGCCTTACTTGTAGGCATTTGACTGTTACAGTTTTCTTTGTAACCTTTTCGTGGTTGCCATTTGCCTGTGGTATTCCAAGCATGGATGAAATTTGATTTCAGAAGTGTGGGGCGGCAAGTATTTTTAACATATCTAACTTCAGTGTGTTTGACCATCTAATCAAAGAGCCGATTCAGTGGCTCATTAGATGTTTGTAAAGTGAGCTTCTCAGGAGTGATAGCGGTGACAGCCAATCACAAAGGCAAAAACAGTGGGCCAGTTAGGAGCTGCACTTTTCCTCTTGGTCCTACCGCTCAATGATTGTCTGTGTACTGTAGCGCAACATTGCTTTTGGACAGTAAAACGTGCAGAGGGCAACAACGGATGTTTGAAAAAGTGCAGCGTCCCCCCAAAAATTAGGTCCATCAATACAAGGTATTTGTAGCTCTCTTTTATCTTTGCCGTTCTCCCTTCTGGGAGTGTGATCCCCTCTGTAGGATACCTCCCCTCTCCTTGTCACCATTCGGCCACATTTCTCTGTAGACCCTGGTTTTGTGCATCAGTGAGTCAACGTCTCGTTCACTCTTAGCATACGGCTTTATGTTATCCACGTACAAGTCTGTTGAACATTACAGCTAGTTGAACATTTCTGATTCGGCACTCATGCCCAGTATTTATTTAGGTTTCATCTGTTTTTAGTTGACATTACCAGTAATAGTTTGTTTGAATAAATGTAAGAATTTGCATTATTGTCGAAGTTTGAGTACGAGAAAAATTACTTTGGTCTTTTAACATACACATTGTCACCTGTGAGGGGACCTATCCTGGAGCTTTTCCTCTATACCAGTGGCACTAACCCTTTTTCTGAAGCATTTTCTGCTGATTTTGGCCTATATAATGGTGTAAGGTAAAACTAGTAGTAGTGGTTTTAGTTGGTTTTCTGATCGTTAAGAGTCAAAAACAGTAAAAATATTTTACACAACTCTAAAAATTTTTTTTTTTTCTGTAACATTTTCTTCTAGGTCTGTTAATGTTTTTATTAGCTTGTTATCCTCTGACCTTTATTTCCTATGAAGTCTTTTATATATTTTATACTATCAAAAATATTTTCAATTTTATATTATGAAATATTGTTACAATCTCCATTTTTTTATTTATGTTTTCCTTAAAAGCTGCTGAGCATGGACGAGCACCTGGAAGATGGATTCACTGTGCCCTCAGAACAAACACCAGAGGAGGATGATATGCCAAGGCTGGTATTGCAACACTGTGTGATGCCTGCGTACCAGTTCATCATCCAAGTTGCACCTGATCAAGCCTCGGTATTTTCTTTTTGAAGTTTTCCAAGTTCAGGTTTATACTGATTGTAAGATTGTTAGTAGACATGAGGAAGGACTGTTTTATATCTCTGTTAGATGGATCTGAAAGCATTTTTGGATCTAGTCTAGGCAGTTGAATTTTCATTAAACATGTTCGTTTCATTTTGGTTATAAAACATCTGGTTAAAGCATGCATGTAAAAATGATCACCCCTTAGACTGAAAGGTCACCAAATAACAGAAACATCAGGGAAGATCAGGAATGTAGCTGAGGCTTTGGTGCTCTGGCGTGGGGGTGCTTACATCAAAATGGTTTATTTTCCTTTGAATATTTGAGTTTCTTGGTAACTGAGACTAGTACTAAAAAATGGATATGAAAAAGCAAGTGTGTGACCAGACAACATTAGAAAGTCGTGCTCTTTTGGAGGTTTCTGAGGTAAGGCTGCAGCTGAATGATATTCTGGTGTCTGTCAAGAGGTGAAGGCTCTCTGCCAGCAAAGTGTGGGAAAGGACAACATGATTGCCTACTTGGAGAGAAATTTCAGTGGCAAAGATAATTGCCATGTTGTCATTTTGAACTTTTAAGATATTGAAGAAAATTCTAATTGTTTTTTTCAATGCATTGGTTAATCAAGTGACTCGACGCATAATGTCATAATAAGCAGACTTTTCTCTTGGCTGTAATTAATAGGAATTAGAGGTAGAAAGCTAGAGCTGACTACAGATTAGTAATGGTTCAAGGTTTTAATGATTGTTTCAATCACACAGGTTGTACTAATTAAACTGGTATGATGGATTATGCATCAGAGCCTGATGTGTTGGACAGTAATTCAACTTTGGAGAAGACTGGGGATGGAGATAATTAACCCAGAAAATTACTCATAGTGACATCTTCAAAACTTTTTATTTACACTGACCCAATACAACAAAACCTTTAAAAATGGATGATAAATTATCAATTATACATTTCAGTAGTTGAAGCTTGTGTACAATTGAAATACCATGTGGCCCAGTTCAATCAACCATTTAGTATAATTAAAATATCAGACGTTGATTAGTAATGGAGGGAATGGACTTAGAGCAACAGGGTAATGAATTTTAATTATATGCATAGAGTGGTCAAGAACAGAGAGGGTGCTGTGGTCTATAAAAAAACCTCAAATATCTAAAGTGATTAAATGATTGATGAGGTGATTGTTGAAACTATAACAGTTGCAGTTTGTATTGAAAACAAAGGGAAAAAAATAAAAGGTAATGGTTAGCTGTTTCTACAGAACTGTAGGTTCTGATATAGATATTTTAAGATGCTAGTTTGAGGGGTTCTACAGCCTGAAAGGTAAATATCCCGATACACCATAGATCCCAAAAAGATTATGATAAAAAAAAGCAAAACACCCTATATAGAGAATTCATGAAGTAACAACTGCAAATATAAATTATAATATTACTCTATTCATGCCAAGGAAAATATATTTTAAGGCAATGGAAATTTAAAAAAAGTCAAAAGGCATGTAAAAAAGTTTTTCAGTTTTGACATGGAAAATGTTTCCTCAACAAAATCCCAGATTGTACATCAAAAAGTATGCAAAATAACCCAAATTCAGTTTAGTTATATATTCTCAATTCCCAATTCATGCCATCTGAAGGCACTTTACAGAAATGATTCAACCAGATCATACAGTCAGACTGATTCAAAGTTTTCTAAGGAAAAGCAGTTTATTGCATCGACTCATTGACTCGATGGTGATGAGTCGATGCCAGTTAAATTGCTTGTCTGACGTCATCATCGGACATGCTCAGAACAGTCCGGCAATATATGGTTAAATTCTGTTCAGCTGCATTTTAGTTGTTTGTGAACTATATACCATAATTTTAAAATGAAATTAAACCCTAAATCTAAAAAAAGACTAAATTTATATTTAAATCCAAACCTGAAAAGTGTCCTGTCAGTGTGCACACAACAAATTAAGTTGGGTTTTCAAATAAAGCTGCTTAATATCTCGGCTCAGCAAACTGCTGACCTCATTGCAGGTCCTCATCTTTGTTGTGGCTGTTCTGGTAGCATGTAGATTATATTCATTTTATTAATGATACTCTAACTATGGAGGACCAATTCTGAGATAATAAAATGAGGAAATGTATTTTAGTTCAACTCCACGAGGTGTTTTTTTTCTCCCCCATATCAATGGGAGACATCCTATTTTATAAATCACTGGATTTAAAGGTTATTTAGGAAGCATTACACATCACTATCTGAGTCTTTGGGTAGTTAGTCATTTCTGCTGATATCTATTTTTCTTCCTCTGAAAATAAAACAAGTAAAATATTAAAGGTTGCAATACATAAAATGTTACGACAGAAGCAATTTAGGGACCTTCTTTTTCTATAGTTCTTTTTTGCAATTAAGTTTTCTGAAATTAAATTTTTCTTTTGTGCAGTTTTTTTGTATTGAGAATTCCCTTAATGTTGCGTGTAGTTAGAGTTGGATTAATACAGATTAGTTCCCTTCAAATGGCTAATCCTTCAAAACAAAGATGGGCAGCTTTCACTTTCAATTCTCAAAAGATGAATTCTGGCAACAATAGGCAATCAGACGCATGTTTGATTCCAAAAGTGATCTGGCAGAAATACACTACAATTATGACTGGCAATCAGCACAAAGCATTTGATTGTTTAATATTTGAAACCTTTGCACTATCCTCACAAGTGGCTCATCATCTGATTGGATAATTTAGGACGAACAGCCTTAGATCAGACCATGATTGTTTTGTTTGCTCCCCCCACAGAGTTCACATTCTTACTATTATTCTGTTGACGGAGCTGTTCTCACACATGGAGTTTTATCTGTCGGTTGCCTTTTCACTACAGCTATTAAATTATGTTGGCATATCAGTGATATCTAAATGGTTTAGTATCTAAACATGTTGGGCCTTAACTGTAATATGTATATCAGCCCCATTTACAAAGTTGCTGAATCGCACCACTTCTCAGGACTGAACTAAGTAGGAAGCATCTCAAAGCAAAACGATTTTCAAAACTTTGACCCTAGCCATTAAAAAAAAGTTTTTGTTCATTAGGTGATAAGAGCCACTTGCTCTTGAATCTGAGGTGGAATCATTGCGCTCTGTCTCACATTATCCCTCCGTGATCAGAAACTGGCCACTAGTTCAGAGTGCAGTTACACCTGCCTTAGGATAGCTGCCTTCTGGAGGAGGCCTTATTTATTCCGGGGGGGCACAACTTATAACTCAGATCACACTACTTTTTAAGGGGAATATTGAATATTGCTTGAGTTTGATGAAGGAAGCTTGTTAAAAGCTGAAATGTTGCCTTTATATTGATCCAGAGAACCGGTCTGGTTTTTGTTCCACCGCATATTATTAGACTATATTGATTCAATCATAAAGGCCATAACGGGGGGGGCAGGATCCGTTCTACTGGGCCCCTGTTAGCCCCCACATCCATCATAGCTAAATGGCCTTTAAGTTCTCAAATGTGTAGTTTACAATATTGACTGAAATGCTACTTATTTAAATTATACACATTTTTGAAGAAGATGAACAACATTTGATGTTGAGGCAAACATTTTGTTTAGCGTTTTGGTACATTAACTATATTTTGGTTATTTTAATGATTTTGTTAATAGACAGCCTGAAAAACTAGTTTCTTCTGATCTAGTTCAGATTAGGTTAGCTTCATATGTTCAAAACCCCCTGGGTGAAGAACTCTGCTCTTTTCCTGCGTAATATATAATGCTAAATGATAGAAGCCATTTTCCTGATGGATATAAATGCATTCCTATGCTGCTACCTTGTGGTGAGCCCTCTATACTGCAACCTACACACCAGCACAAAGGATTACTGTTAAAACAGAATCATAAATGAAAAAATTCTTTATTTTGATGACAGAAACAATGAAATTCTTCTTCTTAAAATGTTAATTTATGTGTCAGGCCTGATATTTCGAATAAACTTATCTAAATTAATTGGTCTTTTTATACCTTATTTATATTAAATTAAGTTATATTAAATTCAGCTAATTTGTCAGTATTGTTCTTTATTGAAATAAAATTATTTGTCATTCAGTCACACTTTTTTTTTTTTTTTTTTTTTTTAAGCCAAAAACCTTTTTAGAACATCACAAGGGGTTCTTTGAGGACCCAGCCATTGAGCTCCAGAATCAGCTCCAATCATTAAGATCTACTGCCCTGCAACTTTTAGGGAAAGCCTACCCCGACCAAGCCAACTGAATTTATTGATTGCTTTCAACATGCCTTACATTTTGGTAAAGGTCTAGTAATGAGCCACTCATTCGAAAAACCCAAAACATTGTCATATGCACATTAAATGCATTTCTCTGTGCAATTAAGATTCTTACTTTGCTGTCCATAGTGGATACCAAAAGACTTGTGGGGGCGGGGGAACAGAATACAATAGGCATGCTTTAACACAATATAATGAACAGAAATATAAAATGTTTGCTACATTAATTGCTTTTTGTGCAACTTTCAACAAGAATGATATTGTGCAACTAAGCATTTCATTTAGTGCAGGAATATACCTGAAGGTTGGAGGGCAGTAGATCTTGAGGTTGGATCTCTGCTCTACATTGGCAGCTTTTTCTACTTCAATAATATTCCTCTCCTCCATTTACTTCTAGCCTGAAAGTAGCTTTTAGTAGATTGGAAACTAGTTGGATGCTTGTTCTCTGTAACATTGTTTGGGTTTTCAGCCTAACTGGTTACCAGCTCATCAGATGTACAGAACAGCAAAACCAATAAAGCAAGGCTTTATACTTTTTTAGCTATTGGGCGCCGTAATAAAGATGCTCAGTTAGCTAAACCAACATCTTAATTCAGATATGTTGAAGTGCAAAAATTTTACATTCAAAACACTGCCAAACAGAGGTTTTGTTACCCTACAACAACACACTAACCTAATACTCTCACTTTGGTTTGCTGGAATCTCAAGGCTGTAGAAATGACTTTATAACCCTTTCAGGCTCTTTGCATGATATCCACCTAGTGAGGATCTGTTGGTTTAACTCCGATTGTCTGACAGGTTCTATTTCACTGACTTTGAGAACAGGTGAGGTAAGAGAAAGTTAATCTGTTACATGTGTGTTAATTTT